AGAAGAAGAAGAAGAAGAAGAAGAAGAAGAAGAAGAAGAAGAAGAAGAAGAAGAAGAAGAGGATAGGCAGCACGCGATGAGAAAAGAGACCATCGGTCGAGCACAAGAAACCGATTGTGAAAAGTGCTCGCGCCCTCACTGCTGGGCGGTAGGTAACCGGTCGGTCGCGGGCTGTTATTTTTTCACATAATGCAGCGCCCTGTTAAAAATACAAAGTGTTAGAAATATTTGCAAAAACACGTACGTTTGAATGTCTCTTACACTCTACTCTCGCCTCGCCGTATCGTCGGTCCTTTAATTTTAGCTTCTATTTACATCTTACACCTATTGAAAAACGAAAGTTCTTATAAAAAATATATTTTAAGTCAAAATTGACATTTAGAAAGAAACGGGTATTTGTAGCTCCTTTTAATGAATTATTTTTCACTATTCTTTCTAGGAGACGGGTCGGTTTGGTGTGGCATCCGCTGTATGTGAATGCTGACTGGTGACGTGTAATCCACATAATTGGGTTTCAAGTTAAGTAGTCTGATTGACCGGGGAGATAAGAGAGAACATCTCATCGCCACAAGCAAAGTATCACATCGCAAAATTTCACATTAACAAGAGCAATATTATTCTGAGCAGAGCCTTTTTTTACCTTGCATACAATATCTTACTTTTTTAACATCTCTGCTCTTTTGTAAAATGTCTGAAATATTTACTAAGAAAAATATTATATTTTCTAAATTATTTCTCGCCTCATTCAAAAATTACACCTTTGAGAAGTCTTGGGAGCGGCCCCTGAAGTACGCCGAGCCCAAAGCTGCGGATTTGAGAACCTCGTAGGCGCGGGTGTTTTCACCTGCATTGGCGTCAACATCTGACCCCGTATCTCCTCCACGTCCATATTCACCGCTACCACCGCGGGCGGGGTTGTGTACCACACAGAAGTCCTGGGGGGGGGGGTTGGAAAACCCCGCCCGAGTGTCCAGATACCCGGTAGCACTCACGTCGTGGAAAGGTGCCTGCGGCGAGGAGACGCGATTGGGCCCCATGCCCAGGAGGGACCTAGTCCCGGCGCAGTTAGCAACCAAAACGGAAATCTGATAAGCCTCGAGCTGGGGAAGTGACCCCACCCACACTGTGGTTAAATGTCCACCTCGCGTTTCGGCGCATCCGGATATCAGCCTCACGGGGCGTTTGTATACCCGCGAGGGATGGGAGTACGAGCTGTGCTCAGGATAAAGCACCTCCTTGAAAAATCACAAGGTGTATGGGACAGAAAGGGCACACGAGGCTTATACTGTTCACCTTTTCCATCAACTATCCATTGGATGGCCCTGGTCAACACCATTGGCCGACCCGGGAGGTTAAGATGACTGCTGCTGGTGTTGATTACCCTCATGCTGAGGCATCCCCCGTACATGCATCACTTTTCCAGCCTAATCCTATCGTCCCCGTGATGTCCTGGCGGCTTATGGGCGAATGGCCGTGTGAACGATGATCTGAGTTCGAAGATTGATGGGGCCTGTATGCAGGCGAGGAAGTGGACTTTGCCATTATAGCTCCCCCTACCATGGTAGGATATTTTTGCTCGAGCGTAGCCCCCCTGGGTCGCCGCTGGCGCTGCCTAGGTCCGGCCATGATCCGCCACATCAGGCACATGTTATTGGATTCCATACCTTAAGTGAGGCAAATTGTAGTTAAAAAGGTTTTTGAGCTGTGAGTGAAGAAATAATGTAACTAATAATCTATTAAAATATTTGTTAACACTATCATTATGAAATAGAGGTATATTAGTTTTTATATAGAGGCAATAAAACTAATTAAAGGCATTATTAGGTAGGTAACAAATTCTGTAAGTTACAATATAAAGATTAAAAAGAAGTCTGTAATAAACTTTCTAATCAAATAGCCACTTCTACCGATCAATTAGAATATCTTAAAAGTTTTGAAACGTTTCTAAGAGTGCAGCTTTCTTGAGAACAAATATACTTTGGATGGGTTTTATATAACAGCCTCATAATCGAGAAAAAGTTTGCAGTTTTGTAGCCAGCAGAACAAGCAACGTAAAAATACACCATGTTATGTGCATATTTCAGTTTCCAAGCAATAGCAATTCAGTCTGTACAAATAATTCAATCTATCTGAAACATTCATTACATATATTTAAATGAACACAATTCAGATATTACCACCAAACTGCAACTCATGGCCCCTTGCACAAGGCAAACATTATAGAAAAAAGAAGTAAACACCAAAAGAAAGTGTAAACTTCCTTCAAAATGCAACCAGCATTAGGAAGAAAGGCTCCAAAACATGCCCTAACAGACTATCACATACAACATGCCCTAATGAACAGAAATTGTTTACAGATTGTCACGCAATGTTAATGAATCATTCTATTCTAACAAACTTTCTACAATTATTTGAAATAAATAATTTTTTAAATTTAATTCATAAAACAATACAGAATTTATAAACAATGTAATCATTATTTTAAGCAAGTTGAACTACTTTCAATTTCATGCCAACAAAAAGGTTTGCCTTTCCATATTTGAGCCAGAGCCTCACAGACAAAATTGAGGGCAATCCTAACCATCTTGGTGACAATGAAATTTTGTTTACACATCTACTTGTACATACATTTATAAAGAGATATCTATTGTAAGTTTTGCTGTACACTAATGTATTAATAAAAAATATAAAACCATACTAACAAAGCATCCAATTAAAGCGCTTTAATCTACGCTCACAGAAAAACAACATATAACTGAAGACCCCTAACTTGTCAATTCAAATAAGAGTGACAAATCTTTCACAAAATTTTGTACATCCTTTCTCCTTTAATAGTGAGAAGATGCAGTCGGAAGCTCTTCATGTGGTCACTGTCTCTGTGAGGTTCTGTCTGTGAATAGCAAAAAATCACCCAAAGAGCAGTACCTGTCTGAATGAGTAGAGTCTTCCATGTTCCATGCTGAGGTAATGAGGATACGTGCGAACTGCTGTTGACGTGGTATAGGGATACGCTTCCTTCCCAACTTTACATGACATGCATGAGCCCATAAATGACTACTTTGAATGCACAACCCTGATCTGCAAAATAATATAATTACAGATCACATTTAACAATAATAGTTTAAACTAAATTCCTCCTAAGTTCAATATCCATAACAATATGCAAAAGAAAATCTCTTTCTACACACTATTTTCAAAACTCTTTCTAAGCGTACTTAGCAATAGTCAATATATTTTATTAAATGTCAGTCACTTTTGATTAATTTTAAAATAATTTCCAAGTTCAAGTTGAAACACATTTAAAACTGAAATATAACACTGTAAAACACTCATTATATTTACTATAAAATGTATGGAATATCAATAATAAAAATCAGTATATCAAATATATCTGAGAAATCTCAGAGTATGAAAATTATGTTAAAACTGACATTCTTATTGAAAATCGGTTAGTAAATACATCATTAGTTGTAAAGGTGCCATAAGTTATTCAGAAATACAGAAAGTGTTAGCAATTTCAGAGAAACACTTTATAGAGCAATTTCTTGTAGATAGTCCAAAGGAGACAAAAACTTCCACACAAACCGCTTATCTTGCAACCACTTCCTTTCTTCCTCGACAAATACAAGAGTAAACCTTTATGGTTTGATGTACATCATAGATTTTTTTATCTAAAACTCAAGCACATACTATATTTTATAGAATTATAGTAGTTTCTGCTAGGTAACCATATAAACTGATCACCAGTTTCCTCTTCTAGAGTGTGTAAGGAAGTCTGATATTATGAATGGTTTTCTTGATATTGTTCAAACTTAGTTCATATGTGAGTCAACATAATGACAGCATTAGGTAGGGTGCAACAGATCTCTGCCTCTGGTCCCACCTCCCAATCTACCATGTAGGCCTTAATGAACCAAAAGAGGTCTTATCTGCAAAGAGGTTCTATTGGTCATATTCATCAGACCTGAGCCCCAGCTGGTCACTCAACGCCACAGGACTCAAGAAATTACAAATTTGAGATAGGAGTATCCCCCAGTGTTCTTGAATGTTAATTATGTTTCCACTAGATTATCACAAAGAATAGCATGATGATTTACTAAACATATTTGCTTGTAATATTAATTAGAAGAAATTGAACCGATGTACTGAAAATTTCAACAAGGAATTCAAAAACATTAACCAAGGCTGAAGTACGCAGTCACCAATCACCATCTGCAGTAACCCATCATACAATCATGCTTATTCCATTAAATGCAGCAATCAGAAGTTAACTGAAATCCGGAATACCAAAAACAATGGAAGTCATATAGAAAAAAAATGTTAGAAGAGAATATACCTTTCCATGAATCTGCAAAGAGTGACCCAATTCTACAAAGTTAAGACATGAAGTGTATTCATGATCTTGAAATCATTCCCCAGTCACCAGAAATTGGTCCAAAATATTGGACAAATATACTCACAAAACAAAAATAGAAAAACTTGAGGTACTGACACAGCAGTTTTCCTTGTAGGAAAACGGTTCTGTAAATACAAAAACTACTTTTAAGACATTCAAATCCGTTATATAGTTACTCTTCACGTGTCTTTACACCTGTAGATTGTCAAGAACATATACTACAAAACAATTCTTTCACAAATAAGTGTTCTACATTTAAGAATTAACAAACTGGGGCAGTTACCTGCGTTTGTAAGTCGTTCCTTATAATGTGCAGTGTTTACAATAAATTCGTTATACATATTTCACGGTGTTGGATGCCATAAAAATTTGAATAAGTTAAATATTGACAGGTTATTGTCCGCCCAGAGCAACACTACCTCAGCCTGCTAACGCCCCTCACCACCTGTCAGTGCACGTATAAATTCTTTGTGACCTTGCAGACTTTAACCAAAGAGTTTATATATCACTACGACCACACAAATTTTTGTTTGTTTTGACGTCTTGAAAGTCTTCAAACGATGGAAATAACTAGTCCGATTCTAGTTCTTGAATACTTGCTTTTTAATGCAATTCAATATTTTTGAAACTCTGTTAAATTCGGTTTTAGTCGCCAGGAAGAGACTTTTGTTTCGCAAGAAGACCGTGAGAACGAAAAAAGTGCTTGCACTCGTGAGAAACTACTTTCAGTCTGTCTGACCGTATACTCGGACTGAGGCGGTTCCCACAACTGATGCCATGTGTGATTAAAAATCAAGTGAACTGTGTTATATTATATTTCAAAAAGTACATTGTCATGAACAGAAAAAATATTTCTTTGATGTTATAACGAATTCAATATTTTATGTTTGTGGCAATATATTTAAAAGAAATATTTTGGTAATAAGGTAGAATTCAAATTTCTGTGTAGCCGAATCATTGAACAAAAACAACACAAAATATACAGAACAAATTGGTCGAAAAAATGAATGATTTATTCTTAGATATCTGAGAAAACTTTCAATTACATACCTGAGTTCTTGCCTCGCAGGCTAGTGCCGTTACAAATTAACGCGGAATTTATCGCAATAGTTTCCCAATCCTTTTAGTCTAGGCTAGCTTTTCGGTATTGACCTACCCTCTCCTCAGATTGTACTTATCTATCGACGCTTAAAAGATAATTATTAACATGATCTCAATTATTCGGTTCCCTAATAGTAGAATTGAAATAACTTAAAGAATATTACAGAAGAGTAAAACAGAGTTCTGTAAGCAAATTATATCATTAAACATTTTGAACCCTTTCTTAAACAAGTGGTACTAAACAACACATACTTTCTCGCCCATAGTAGCTGTTACATAAATTAATATTCAGCAGTTTCGTGCGAATTAACACATCTCAAATCGTAGAACATTAAATGCGAACACCAAATATTTTGAAGAAAATATCAACACAAATTAGACAATTAAAACTGCATTTCATATAGCTAAATCATGAAATGGAATTCACAGATCTAAAACTGCAGTCTCGCGGGGCGGTTTGCCATTGTTGCATTCCAATCTTTTTCCTGAAGGCTAGCAAATGGAGCATTGAAAATTAGAATTTGCAGAATTACGCCAAACTACTCTTTTTTTTAATGTACATGACCTTGTCTAGAGAACTGATTTTTTTGAATAGATTTCATTTACTAACAAAAACATATTTGAAATTGACCTTTTGCAATGATATTTTTTGCATAATTGTAATTTGTAATTTCTTGTCAAATACACACTAATTTGGGTTTTATAAAATCTTATAATAAAATCTAAACGACCTTACGCATTGACACTGCCGCAAACACTGCCGAAATTCAAATTTTTCAATTCAATTTTATTTTCAATTTTGAAAAATGCGACGAAAATGGAATCAGTACCACTTTTTAATCGTTATTTGGTACATACGTGAAAAAATTTTTAAAAAAATTAGCCATTTCTGAGAAAATAATTGTTTAAAATATAAAATTGTCTACGTTTGACGCGAAATTACACAAAAATCTCATTAAAAAAAAAATTGAACGTGACCTTATTTGAAGACGTTTTGATGAATATATTTCATTAATAAAAATATCTTCACAATTGTAATTAGGAAGGCCCCGAAACATTGCAAAATTACAATTGTGCAATCGTCGAAAAATTAGGGATTTCAACGAATATGAGACTTGCGATACTCTCTTAAGCTTCCTTTACAATATGGGAGGACACAATTTAATAAAACAAATTGGTACCGTTTATTGAGAAATCTAGTGGGTTTACAATATCACATACGTCGCATTATTTGTAACTGGTCGCATCATTCTAGCCCATCATACAGGAAAGCAAGAACAATTTCATATATAAACTGAACATTCAGAATCCTATTTATCGCATTATGAGTGCATTCGAAATAACGATACCTTATATATGTCTTATGCACATTCTTACGAATTAAATAAACTTAATTATCGTCTCCTATATTATTTCAGTAGTATACATCCCTTTTGCGGCTCTCACGCGCAACCCATATTTATAAATGAGGTCTCTAAAGAAACAATTTCACGGAGACGTAACGAATTGCATTTTGACTTTAAAAATGTCAAGGGTTTGTTTAAAAACGCATCTAAATATTCATGTCAAATGCAACTCCCAGCAGTCACGTCAATCATAACTTAGCGTTCTAAGGCCTTAAAACTATAATTTTGAGACCAATTGTCTCAAAGAAACGTTCCGCACACCCTAATCTGTAGGATAAGATATTATTGGACTATTTATTAAATGTTTGCTGGCTCAGACATATCGATACTACCAATGCCACCTAGATTTCAACCCTTCGTGATGGTGGTCATTTTTGTGTACACCGTGGTTTGCAGCAGCGCAGATTGAGCACAGAATGAGCGCAGACTGACCCTGGCGAGGAGGAAGTTTATTGCCATGTTGGGGGTATATGCGCTGCAGCTCTTTGGCTTATGCGGCAACGAAGAGGGTAGTGCTTACTAACTAGCTTATTTCTAACTTAACCTATGGATGAATCCGGCACTTTGGCCGGCAACCTAAGATTTGCACTAACACTTTATTGGTAATTTATTTAATAGCTTTATATTGATTCTTTAGTTTTATTGATTTTTATTTTTTCATTCGCTCACACATTCACACTGGGTTCTATTTACACTCGACACACGCACTTTCACGCATCTCTATATACACACTATAAACATTATATCCACTGTACTGTGTGCCACGGCGCCAGCTTTGCTTCAAGTGTTCGTGGCGGCTAGGCACAAAGTGCCCTGGCAATTGTAACCGGCGGCTCCGCCGGCCGGCGGTGCTTCACTCGTCCCGCTGGGAGCCTCACGCCGCTGCTCGCAGAGCTCTGCGGGAAGTTGTGGCGGTACCGGCCGGAAGTGAAGGCCACTTGCTTGGGCCCTCTTGGGGCAAAATACGTCCGGTGGACCTCACAGTTCACCGCCCGGCCGGTTTCGCGCAAGAGCCGCGGAGCTTTCGGCCCCAGCGCCCGCGTGAGCGCCGTGTGTGCCCTCCGGCGGATCTTCTCCGGCAGCTGACGACTTACGCCCAAGGCCCCGTAGGTTACACTGTTCCTATGGTGGCGGTTGGAAGGAGGAGGAGGAGGAGGGAGATGCGACCGCGAGGCGGTGCGTACCGCTCGGTTCTCGGCCGCCCAAATCGGGCGTAATGTCGAGACCGGCGCTGCCGCAAATGTTTCCCAAGCATACGTCCATAAACTACGTATGCAGGCGGTGAAAAGAAGAAAATTAAAATATCGATGTCAAAATCCATGGGTCGCGATATCAGCCAGATGATAGGTCGAAAGAGGAATATCAATTTTGGAGAAAAACCGGAGGACAATTTAGGCGCCAGCGTTCACCACAGACGGACTACAGGCAAATTCCTAATACACCTGAACTTCATTGTTGCTGTGCGCCTCCGTGTGACGTGGGTCGAGGCAGAGGGCAGAAGGAGAGGGCGGCGCCAGAATGAGAGAGGGGGAAAACAGATAGAGAAAAGGGAAAAGAGAGAGGGAAAGAGAAAGAAAGCGCGAGAGATAGGGAAAGAGGAAAGAGAGAGGAGGAAAAGAGGAGAGTGAAAAAAGAGGGAAAGTGAAAAAAAGAGGGAAAAGAGAAAGGGAAAAGAGAGAGGGGGAATTAGTTAACTCTTAAATAAGAAAAAGAACAAGATAACTCAAATTTCAAACTCTATTTCCACAATTATTTTTCTTCGACAGCAACGCGCTAATCAGCTAATGTATTTATAGTATAGTATAGTTACAGCACGGAGCTAGTATAAATTTAATTTTTGTTATAAAAAAGAAGGCCATTCAGCAGGGGGGGGATTAAATTATTTTCAAATTCACGCCACATCGCTGCCAGGAATTGTGCAGTGACAAGGAAACTTTTGCGTTGCCGAGCTGCTAATCCGGGCGTCTCCTTTGTGGAGCCCAGTTCGAAGTGGAGATCGGCATGCGCGTGGGCGACCAGAGCAGGGCCTCGCGTCTCGGGCCATTTCAGGAAGGCGCCGGCAGGTGTCGCAAGCAACCGGGAAGGGCCAAGGTCACGGGACCCTCCGTCGCGTACGTGATTGGCCATAGCGCCACCGCGTCATCGGCGCGGGAGAGGGCCCGCGAAGCCTTTAAATGCCGGAGATCCAACGACATCACTTCTTCAAAAAAATGTTTGTCAAGCTTCTCATATTTGTTCGCCGAGCTTCTTCTTCAAAATTTCTTCGTGAGCATGCCAGGCACCACCTATCACCGCACAAAGTAATTTCTTTTTTTTAAATTTTCTTAATATTTCAGTGTTCTAATAGTAGAACGGAAATATTATTTTATGAATATTAAAGAACAGTAAAACCTCGTCCTAAATTGTATTTTTATTGAAAATGTTGGAGTCGCTTTTAAGAAAATGGCACTTATGCGCTACTGTAAATACGAAATTGGAACCTCTTTTTCACAGAAAACTAATGGGTTTTTGAACAGCTTCATTTAAAGCACTTCCAGTCACAAATGCAATCATGTATACAAATTGCTGAAAATATGCATCTTAAATGTCGTGAGAGATTTTTCAAAAAAATACATTTATATTCTTTTTTTTGAAACATCAAATGAATGTAGCATAATTATGTTTGTGTCATCTTAGTGCAATCGGCAGTACGAAAAGTGTGAAGAAAAAACTTGTAGCTGTTTTTGAGAAAATGGCCATTGAATGTTTCTGAAAATACAGGAATATGAGCTCATTTTCACAGAAAACTATTGTATTTTTGAGAAACTTTAAACGACGTCATTTAAAGTATATGTACTCATAAATACAATAGTGTGAACAAATTGCCGGTATTGTAAATATTAACCACGTGAGGGACAAGTGAATAAAAATTTAATTTTTCTCATTTTTGCAAAACCAAAAGAGTATAGGAATTTCATGTTAACTGTTTATGTCATCTTAACTATGAGATAACATAACAGAGTACATTTAGTACTATACCTATCAAAAGTTTAAAGAAAAAAATTAGAACAGTTTTTGAGAAAATGTTGTTTTTGAAAGTTTTTAAAATTGCAAATATTGCACGAAAACTACTAAAATGTCCGAAAAATGTACATGATCTAAATGAAAAACTACACAAAAGGAAGGACCGCAAATTTTATTTGAGGGAAACATCTCTATCCTCAATTTTGTAGTTGTAGGAACACGCAGGAGAAAATTGAACTTTTATTTTTTTTGAAAATCCAGAGTTAACCCTGAAAATCGTACCTATGCTACTTTTATAAGTGTGTTTTACTTTATTGATACAAGAAATTTAAAGAAAAAAATTGAAAATTTTGAAAATTTCCCAGGGGTTTTCTCTAGGTTTTAAAGAATGTTTTTCAAAATTTCAAAGCTTCGACTCGAGACAGACTGAAAGAGGTTTTTTCAACAAGGAAAAAATCCTACGTTTGGTTGAGGCGCTTGTGAGCTTGACAGACGGGCGGACAAACAGACGCACAGACCGACGGGCGGATATTTTGTCGCCAATTGGCTTTTCGGTGTCAAGGATCCACAACACAGGGATTCCGGCTACCATGTGTCAGAGCATTTTCTCTTAATTTAGCAATTAGATTTATCTACTTTTTCGTTATCAATTTTTTTTTTTCGTGCTGAACATCCGCCGTTCTTTCTCTGTTTTCCGATTTTTATTGTTTAAGCGGCATTTACATAAATGGCATATTCCGCGTTGATGAGCATTGACAAGTTGGATATACAAAAATAAAACAAAATCTCCTTCCATCCCTTATATAGATGGTGATAGGAAAAGGGGGAGGGGGAAAGGATGTAACGAGGACACGTGGGGTTTACTAAAGGTGCTTTTTTTGATGGAATACTTTTGAGGGTGAAGTATGGTGCCAATTTATTACTGAAAGGTGGGCTAATTTTCTTATTTATTGTTCATTTTTTCATTTTATTTTCATTTAACAGCGTGGTGTGTCGTTTTGTCTTAGTCTGGTCAGTATTTCAAGTCATTTTTTGTCATTTTGTTTCAGTCTGGTCAGTGTTACAAGTAACTTTTAAGCAAGTTTGCAGTATGTATTTGGAAGTGGCTGCAGGTTAGTGGAGTGGGGGTGGTATTGAGTCCCAGGCGGTGGGAGCTGGAGCATGTCGACTGGGTGGTGAGGGTGTTTTGCGCAGCTTTAGAGCAGCAGTCGAGTCGGTAGGTGTAACGTATGTAGAGTGAGTGGTGACGTTCTTTCGCGCAGCATTAACATAACTTTCTCTGCTGAAACTACGTATATACGTACGTATACGAGAAAGTAAAAACTTCAAGCGATGAGCCTTGGGTGTGAGCTAGGCTCGACTTCCAGACGGAACCCAAACACCCGCGCGTTACGAGGCAAGTCGATAATCCTGACTTCTGACAAAGATGTTACACCGCACCAGATGTTCTTTCAAGATATATAAGGCACAAAAGGCTAAGTTCATTCAAATAATTAAATGTTACGTGACATTCACAACCACCGTCTCTTTGAAAGAAGTGAAACTGAAAAAATGTGAGCAGCTATGATGTCATATTAGTGGCAACAATTTATTGTCACTTAATTCCCGGAACCCCCGCAATACCGGTTCCTCGAGAATGCATCACAGATCATGTAGCGCGAATTTTTTTTACAATGTCACCAATTTTCATTTTCTCTACTGATAATTCGATGTACTTACTGTATTGTATACTTACAATTTTCCTACATGGAATTACCGAGCGAAGTAGATCAGTGCGTAGCACGCTGACTTCGCAATCGGAAGGTCCGGGTTCTATTCCAGACTGGGGTTTTCGTGGTTTCCCTCGGTTATAAGGCGAATGCTGGGATGGATCAAAAAGTCCACGATCACCTTTCACCAATATCCTATCACCTCCTTATCTAATAATAATAATAATAATAATAATAATAATAATAATAATAATAATAATAATAATTCACAGTGGGGACAAAGTTGCTCGCGTCCGTGGTCAACCACACGTGTCCCCTGGGTAACACCAAATGAGCAACAGTGATTCGCCACCTATGCGCTTGACCTTTGTGGGCGTGCGGGTCCCTTCAAGCTGAGGGGAAAGCCTGCGCGTCTATACTGGTCGGCGCGTCACCAAATGGCTAACATGCCAAGAGTGAGCGTTGCCTAAATAACAACAACCTACATGGACTTTCTTAAAAGGGATAAATTAAGAAAATTGCTTTTAAGAGGCTGGTCGGTGATCGAGGTGAATGGTGATATATCATGTGCGTACAACATACAAGTCAACGTGCTGAACTACTTCGCTCGGTTCAATGTCTCAAGGAAAATCGGTCGTTTAGAGTGGTGGTCGTCATGTGTTTATACGAGTACAAACTGGCGCACCCTTTGTGAGGGCTCACTAGACTTGACGTAACCCTCCAGAATTAACCCCATCCAATGATACATATTAAAAACAAATTTACTAATTTGCTTTTACTAATTTTCTGTACTATCGAAGGTCATCAGTTGTTACGTTATAAATATTAACTTTATCTCTACAAATTAAAATGCGAGTTATGTTCACCATCAATGAAAACTGCTTTATAAGAAAATAGCATGCCGGCTGGACCTATAACCTTGAGTGTCGGCTTAAGCCACAACTCTTCGCAACTATATACTGGATACCTCAGAATAAATGCTATAAAATTCAAGAGCATGTAGTGATAAACATTTTTTGAGAATGAACATGTTGGAAATCTTTAATAAGAAAGCGAACTACTTGACGTTTGCTCCTGGCGTATAGGCAATCCAAACAGATGGTTGACAAGTCTACGTAATACCTTTGCGTCTGAACGTGACCCGTTGAACACCAGCGCATGGTTGGTTGCCTTCTTGTCAGGAGCAAATGTCACCTTTCGTTATACATGAAATTTCCCACCATGCGTTCTTTGGGCAAAGTGAATATCTTTCACTCATCTACATATCCAGCACGTTTATTACGAAACTGTCTACAACCAAAAACAAAACTCCAAGTGGTAGTATATTCCTAATGATGTCGACCCTTTTACTTTCCCATATACGTACATACGTATATACGGAGTAATATACGAAGTATAGGGAAAGTTCTGGAATGCTGCCAAAAATCGATTGCGATATTCACACAGAAATACATGTTCTGGGTCCCCCTGATATCGAAAAGTGTTTGTTTTTCAAAACGTCCGTCTGTGAACACTACTATGGACTAAATGATACGTAGGATTTTTTTTCAAATTAAAAACAAACTGTCTATCTGGCTCCATCCGAAGCTTTGAGATTTTGAAAAAACAATCTTCAAAATTTGGGGATACTTTACATCAAGCCCCTGGCGCATTTTCAACATTTTTTCAAAAACTGGCTCAAAATGTTTTCTTTAAATTACTTGCAAGAATAGTGTAAAATATGCTTCTAAAGGTGACATAGGTCTGATTTTCACGATTAACTCTGAATTTTTCTAATGTAAAAGTTTGAATTTTTCCGCGTCTTCCTACAAATAAAAAATTGAAGATATATCTTTTTCCTTCGTGTAAAATTTGTTGTTCAGAATTAGTTATTTCATGTCAGGTAATGTATATTTTTTGAAAATTTTAGTAGTTTTCGAGCAATATTGCGAGCAATATTTGCAATTTTAAAATATTACAAAAACAAGATTTTCTAAAAAATGTCTCGAATTTTTTTCTTTAAACTTTTAATAGGAATAGTACTAAGTGTACTCTATAAGATAACATAAACGCTATACTGCTGTTTTCTTTCGTTTTTTCCAAAAATGTTTTTGTACTAAAATGTATGTTTTCTTATCTCTCACGTTGTGAATATTTATACTAGCGGCAATTTGTTTATATTATCATATTTATGAGTACATGTACTTAAAATAATGTCAGATAAAGTTTCCAGAAAACTCAAGAGTTTTCTATAAAAACTAGCTCAAAATTCCTCATTTTCAGAAATACTCAAACGCTATTTTCTCAAAAACGGCTCTAAATTATTTCTTCAAAATTTTCGAAATGATTGTGCTAATTGCACTCTTTAATATGACTTAAATTTATTTTTTCTTAAAAATTACATGAATGTAATATTTTGAAAGGGTGAGAGCACGC